CGGGTCCAGGAGCTATGAATTGACCCCAGTAACCACAGTTAGGTGAGTACACACACACACACACACACACACACACACATACACACACACACACACACACACACACACACACACACACACACACACACACACACACACACACACACACTACTTTGTGTCAAGAGGTAGGTTGCTGTTTTCTTGTGTTGTTTTGTAATACCATCTAAATGTTAAACCACCACCACCACTACTATCACCACCACCACTATCACCACCACCACCACCACCACTATCACCACCATAACTATCACCACCACCACCATCACCACCACTATCACGACCACCACTATCACCACCACCACCACCACCACCACCACCACACCAACCATAAACCAATCACCACCACCACCACACACCACCACACACCACCACCACACCACATCACCACCACCACTATCACCACCACCACCACCACTATCACCACCATAACTATCACCACACACCACCACACCACCACCACCACTATCACCACCCACCACCACCACCAACACCACTATCACCACCATAACTATCACCACCACCACCACCACCACCACACACTATCCACCACCACTTCACCACACCACCACTATCACCACCACCAACACCACTATCACCACCAAACTATCACCACCACCACCACCACCACTATCACCACCACCACTATCACCACCACCCAACCACCACCACCCACACCACACCACCACACCACCACCACTATCACCACCACCACTATCACCACCACACCACCACCCACCACTATCACCACCACCACTTCACCACCACCACTCACCACTATCACCACCACCACTATCACCACCACCACCACCACCACTCACCACCACTATCACCACCACCACTATCACCACCACACCACCACCACACCACACCAACCACTATACACCACCACCACTATCACACACCACCACCACCACCACCACCACCACTATCACCACCACCACTATCACCACCACCACTATCACCACCACCACTATCACCACCACCACCACCACCACCACCACCACCACCACCACTATCACCACCACCACCACACACCACTATCACCACCACCACTATCACCACCACCACTATCACCACCACCACCACCACCACCACCACCACCACTATCACCACCACCACTATCACCACCACCACCACCACCACCACCACTATCACCACCACCACTATCACCACTACCACCACCACCACCACTATCACCACCACCACTATCACCACCACCACTACCACCACTATCACCACCACCACTATCACCACGACCACCACCACCACGACCACCACTATCACCACCACCACTATCACCACCACCACCACCCTCACCACCACCACCACCACCACCACCACCACCTTCACCACCACTACCACCACTATCACCACCACCACTATCACCACCACCACCCTCACCACCACCTCTATCACCACCACCACCACCACCACCACTACCCTCACCACCACTACCACCACCATCATCACCACCACCACCACCACCACCCTCACCACCACCACCACCCTCACCACCACTACCACCACTATCACCACCACCACCACCACCACCACCCACTTTCACCACCACTACCACCACCATCACCACCACCACTACCCTCACCACCACTACCACCACCATCACCACCACTACCACCACTATCACCACCACCACCACTACCCTCACCACCACTACCACCACCATCACCACCACTACCACCACCATCACCACCACTCTTCCTCATTCATCTTTACAACCCTCCTGCCTTGTTCCCTCCCTCTCTCTCTCCCCCTCTCTCTCTCTCTCTCTCCCCCTCTCTCTCTCTCTCTCTCTACCCCTCCCATACCTCCCCCTCCCACCCCTCTCCCCCTCCCCCTACACTCACAATAACACTCACATTTACTAAGGAAACTCGCGTAAATTTCAACAAAGGAAATTTTAATAATCTGGTAAAACTTGTCTCGCCTTCTCTCACCTCATCCAATTTAATTTAGCGAAGATTCTCTGGCAGCGACGCTCTTTTCACGGTCCTGGGGGGAGGGGGAAAAGGGGAGGGGAAGTGGAAGAGTGGTGGGGGAAGGGGGGTTGAAGGGGTTTTTGACGGGGTGGGGGAAGGACGAAAGGCATCGGACGGGAAAGGAGGAGCAATGGAAGTGTGAGGGGTGGGAGTGGAAAGTATGAGTGGGGGTAGGAATTGCAGGAGGAGGTGGTAGAGGTGATGAGAGAGGTAAGGGGTGTATGAGTGAAGCGTATTCATATAATATATATATATATATATATATATATATATATATATATATATATATATATATATATATATATATATATATAATATATTTATATATGAACACTGATCTCTGGCTGAAGGAGACTCGAACCTACGAACCTTGGAACAAGGTACGCAGTGCTATACCAATCTCACCACACTGGACAATACCTTGGCGTGCAGCTTGCGCTACACGTTGATCCAAGGCAGCCAGCTTTCAGGGAGAAGGCTTACAGCTTTTCATCTCATCTCCTGCATGCATCAGCCTTACTAGAGATTTTAACAATGCAAGGAATTCGCAAGAGCAGGCGAAATATACACAAACACTGATCTCAGAGATCAGTATTTGTGTATATTTCGCCTGCTCTTGCGAAAGCTGGCTGCCTTGGATCAACGTGTAGCGCAAGCTGCACGCCAAGGTATTGTCCAGCGTGGTGAGATTGGTATAGCACTGCGTACCTTGTTCCAAGGTTCGTAGGTTCGAGTCTCCTTCAGCCAGAGATCAGTGTTTGTGTATATTTCGCCTGCTCTTGCGAATTCCTTGCATATATATATATATATATATATATATATATATATATATATATATATATATATATATATATATATATATATATATAACAATTGCACTGGCCGAGACTCGAACCCTCGAGCTTTAACACGCTACTCTGGTAGCCTGTTAAAATTTGCGACACCTTAATCCACTTAACCATCAATGTCACATACAACAGGCGCCTAGTAGCACTAGACGTCACTCCTGCTGGGGAGACATAATTGGTTGTGGCAAGCAAAGGACTGATTCCATTCTCTTCTCGTTTAGAATACCAGTTACACAAGCAGTCTACATATTAATACATCCACTAACAAGTGGTTTTAAGCAATTGGCCAGTGTAGTTATTATCTGCTTATAACTTCTTATGAAGTTGTTGTTACATGATCCAGACGTCCTAGGGTAAACATTCTGGTAGATTCAGAGGTTTTTGGTTGATGAAAATGAAGATGGTTTCAAATTTAGGTTAAAAATTACAATAGTTAAGTAGTAGTCTTAATAAATATTATTATTATTATTATTATTATTATTATTATTATTATTATTATTATTATTATTATTATTATTATTATTATTATTGTTATTATTATTTTTATTACACGAGTTGTTATTGGTTCAGTTATTAATATTTTCGTAAACAATTGTCTTCAACACGACCCATCAACTCACTATTTATTAAAATATTTCAGAATCCAACACACATTTTGAGTGAATATTTCAAGACAGTTTCTCGGTGTGAAAATGAATCAAATGCAGTTTATAGTTTGATTGGTTGGGGGAACATTTCGCCCAGCGAGGAGGAGAAACGCTGTTGATAAAGTGTCCAGCGAATCTGAGATAGATTAGGTGGGGGGTTACGCTTTTGGTCGCATGACCAAAGCCTTCTCCTGGCTTCCCCGTCTCGCTCCCGTCCCCAAATTTTAAAAAAAGTTAAAAATAAAATCATTGATATACATTTTTCTTCTCGTATTCAAGTGTCATTCCACTTTTTCTCGAAAGAAACAACAAAAAGTCAGAATAGCGTGACTGAAGGAACACTTACCACTACGTTTCGGCCCGACTTGTAAATGGTCCAAGTCTAACGGGAACGTCGTCGTAATCTCCCGTCTCCTATGTGCTGCTTATCTCCGTATCGTTCCAGTTCCACCGGGGTTTGTAATTGTACCAGTCTGTTGTTCCATTATACAGCCAGGCAACCTCACTTAGTGAAGGGAGCAATTATCTCTGTTATTGCAGAATTTCACTGTTATTGGCTGTCTCTCAGGGTTAATTAAGGCATCGTGGCTGTGTCAGTACGTCCAGTTCTTGCAAAATATCCACTGGGTAGGGCTTGTAAGTGGAGAATTCGGGTTCATGGGAGGTACCGCCGTTCGTGTGGCAGCCGTGAATTCTGGTTCATGGGAGGTACTGCCGTTCGTGTGGTAGCCGTGAATTCGGGTTCATGGGAGGTACCGCCGTTGATGTGGTAGCCGTGAATCCGGGTTCATCGGCGGTACCGCTGGTCGTGTGGTAGCCGTGAATTCGGGTTCATCGGCGGTACTGCCGTTCGTGTAGTAGCCCTGAATTTGGGTTCATGGGCGGTACCGCCGTTCGTTTGGTAGCCGTGAATTCGGGTTCATGGGCGGTACTGCCGTTCGTGTGGCAGCCGTGAATTCGGGTTCATGGGAGGTACCGCCGTTCGTGTGGTAGCCGTGAATCCGGGTTCATCGGCGGTACCGCTGGTCGTGTGGTAGCCGTGAATTCGGGTTCATCGGCGGTACTGCCGTTCGTGTAGTAGCCCTGAATTTGGGTTCATGGGCGGTACCGCCGTTCGTTAGTAGCCGTGAATTCGGGTTCATGGGCGGTACTGCCGTTCGTGTGGTAGCCGTGAATTCGGGTTCATGGGCGGTACTGCCGTTCGTATGGTAGCCGTAAATTCGGGTTCATGGGCGGTACTGCCGTTCGTGTGGCAGCCGTGAATTCGGGTTCTTGGGCGGTACTGCCGTTCGTGTGGTAGCCGTGAATTCGGGTTCATGGGCGGTACCGCCGTTCGTGTGGTAGCCGTGAATTCGGGTTCATCAGATGGTTGCCAGTTGTTCGCTCACCAATGCACATTACTTCATATAAATCAAATTCCTGACCATCTGTCTATCCATCTAACCCCTTTATTTGCCCATCTATCGCAGGTGTGGTTCCAGAACCGGCGGGCCAAGTGGCGCAAACAGACGCGGATGCAGTTCGTACAAGACGCATGGCGACTGCGCTACCTGGGGTTGTCCCCTCCCGCCTGGCTCACACGATCCCCGCCCCCACCCCCAGGGGCGGCCAAGCCCCCCGCGAGGGCGGGGCCAGGGGGCAACCCTTCCCTCACCACCCCTCCCTCTTCCGCCCAGCTCCGCCTCTGACGGCATGATGGGCGGGGACAGGACCGTCGGCGCCGCCCCCCGTCCCGCCTCTCCTGCCACCACGCCGCCGACAGACCTTACCACCGCCGCAGACCGACTGGCGGCCGCCACCAGGTGGGTGTCCCTGTGGTTACTGGGGTATCCTTGTGTTTACTGGGGTATCCCTGTGTTTACTGGGGTGTCCCTGCGTTACTGGGGTGTCCCTGTGGTTACTGGGGTATCCCTGTGTTTACTGGGGTGTCCTTGTGGTTACTGGGGTGTCCCTGTGGTTACTGGGGTGTCCCTGTGGTTACTGGGGTGCCCATGTGGTTACTGGGGTGCCCATGTGGCTACTGGGGTGTCCCCGGGGTTACAGGGGTGTCCCCGGGGTTACTGGGGTGTCCCCGGGGTTACAGGGGTAACTCCTGACTAAGGTTTCCCTTATTATTATTATTATATTATTATTATTATTATTTATTATTATTATTATATTATTATTATTATTATTATTATTATTATTTATTATTTATTATTATTATTATTATTATTATATTATTATTATTATTATTATTATTATTATTATTTATTTATTATTATTATTAATTATTATTATTATTATTAATTATTATTAATTATTATTATTATTATTATTATTATATTATTATTATTATTATTATTATTATATTATTATTATATATTATTATTATTATATTATTATTATTATTATTATTATTATTATTTATATATTATTATTTATTATTATTATATTATATATTATTATTATTATTATTATTATTATTATTATTATTATTATTATATATATTATTATTTATTATTATTATTATTATTATTATATTATTATTATTATTATTATTTTATTATTATTATTATTATTATTATTTATTATTATTATTATTATTATTATTTTATTATTATTATTTTATTATTATTATTAATTTATTATTATTTTATTATTATTATTATTATTTATTATATTATTATTATTATTTATTATTATTATTATTATTATTATTTTTATTTATTTATATTATTATTATTATATTATTATTATTATTATTATTATTATTATTATTATTATTATTATTTTATTTATTTTATTATTATTATTATTATTATTATTATTTTATATTATTAATTATTATTATTATTTTTATTATTATATTATTTATTATATTATTATTATTTATTATTATTATTTATTATTATTATTATTATTATTATTATTTATTATTATTTTATTTATTTTATTAATTATTATTTTTATTATTATTATTATTATTATTATTATATTATTATTATTATTATTATTATATATTTATTATTATTATTATTATTATTATTATTATTATTATTATTATATTATTATTATTATATTATTTATTATTTATTATTATTATTATTATTATTATTATTATTAATATTATTATATTTTATTATTATTTATTATTATTATTATTATTTATTATTATTTTTATTTATTATTATTTATTATTATTATTAATTAATTTATTATTATTATATTATTATATTATTTATTATATTATATTATTATTATTATTTATTATTATTTATTTTATTATTATTATTATTATTATTATTATTTTATGATTATTATTATATTATTATTATTATTTATTTAATTAATTATATTATTATTATTATTATTATTTTTATTATTATATTATTAATTTTATTAATTAGTCATTATTATATTATTATTATTATTATTATTATTATTATTGATTATTTTACTGGGTATTATTTTTATCTATTATTATTATTATACCTATTTTATTTTTATTATTATTATTATTATTTTATTATTTATTTATTAACTTATTATTATTATTATTATTCATTATTTTTATATATTTATTATTATTATTATTTTTATTATTATTATTATTCATTATTATTATTATATTTCATTATTTTATTATTTTATTATTATTTACTTTTATTTATTATTATTAATTTTTCCTATTATTATTATTATTATTATTTTTATTAGTTATTCATTATTTATTATTTATATTTATTATTATATATTATGTTATTATGTATTATTATTATGTATTATTATTATTATTATTTATATTATTATTATATTAGTTATCCATTATTGTTATTATTATTTATTATTATTATATCATTATATAAATTATTATTATTATTATTATTATTATTATTATTATTCAGTTATCTATATTATATATTATTATTAATATTATCTATTATTTATTATATATTATTATTATTATTATTATTATTTATTATTAATTATTATTATTATTATTATTATTATTATTATTATTATTATTATTATTATTTATTATATTATTATTATATTATTATTAATTATTATTATATTATTATTATATTATTATTATTATTATTATTATTATTATTTATTATTTTTATTATTATTATTATTATTATTATTAATTATTATTATTATTATTATTATTATATTATTTAATTATTATTAATTATTATTATTATTATTATTATTATATATTATATTATTATTATTATTATATATTATTATTATATTATTATATTATTTATTAATTATTATTATTAATTATTATTATTTA